AAGAAAATGCTTAGAGCTGGTAATTTATAGATAATTTAAATAAAGCCTTAGAATAAACATACAAATATTTTAAATATTAGATTAAAATTAATATATTTCTGCTGGCTTGAAAATAGCCAAGTTGTCAGCACTTGGTGTCGGCTGCAAAATTGTAAACCGGCAGCCTGGGGATACTGATACGTTGGCGCCGACGTCGGCGGCTGGCGTTGGCACAAAGATTATGCCAACCCAACTGGCCATGTGGAGATGTGGAGGTGGAGGTGGAGGGGTGGTGGTGTCCGGGGGGGCGGGATGTGGAGCGGTAGAGGGTCAGGTCAGGGACAGGCGACAGGCGACAAGGCAATAATTCTTTGGTTTTCACATTTTGCTGGCGCCCGTTGTCGAAAATCTTTTTGCGGCTTATGTTACACCAGGACGACCGACCAGTAAACCCACCCACCCATCCATCCCACCGCCCACATCCCGCCCAGATGGGATGGATGTGGGCGTGTCCGCTGGGACGGGCGACACATGTTACGGGTCAGTGGCGCTGCTGCCGCCGGCTTACACTTTTCGGTTTAGATTTTATTCATTTGCATATGCACGCTTATGATGAGATTTATTTATATGATTCTCGTCCCCTTTTTTCTTCTCGCTTTTTTTTGCGGCCCTTCGCGATTATGGCCGGGTTAAGTTGGTGGTGTGGAATTTAAGATAGGTGACATCGCTGTAATTGATGGAAAAAATATACTTTTCTTTCATTTCTTTTATTAAATAATGCGAAAATATTATGAATACAATGTTTGAATTTAAGTAGTTGGTAAGGCAGCTTACTAAAACTGATTAAAATTCACCTACGACTCAAAAATGTCCAAGGAGCGACCAATCATCTCAGTTAAAGTTAATTAATATAATCAACCACGAGCTCTTAGGGAATTGTTCACACAATTCCAATGTGTATCGTTCAATAGTTGGTGCGAAAAACGATCAATCATTTAAAATAATTATTAATTATTATACCACATTTTATTTGCCAAGTGGAATGCTTGTATAAGAATCACGGCAGCTTATGTTACTTAGCTTACTATTGCGTTGTATCAAAAAATATAAGTATTATATGAAAAAGTAGTAACTGCCTATTTAATTTGTATGACTGCTTTCGGGTAGTTGAGTTGAATTGAACATATACATTCACGGATATTTGATATAACCGATTACTTAATAATATTCAGGTTAATTTTGTAATAATGAACTTAATCCCCTGGTCGTAATTAATTTCCCATGCAAACAGACGCTTCATTGAAGCTATTGTAATTCCAAACAAATTACAATTTAAAGTGCATTCGCATCAGCTCGATGAATTCAAAATGCAGCAATTAATCACAGGAATGGCTTTAGTACAGTCCCGCGTTACGTGCAACCAGGTGGCAACGCCGCACATCACCTGGCGCAACGGAAACGGAAACGGGAAGCGGGAAACGTGAAACGAACCCTTACCTCAACCTCTACCTCACAACACGCAACATGCAACACACGCGCGATTAGCAGCAATTTGTACAGCAATTAAGCTCAAGTGCAATAAAAGTTATTTGCAACGAAGTGCAGCGGTGCAGCGGGAACAACAGCGATGACAACCGTAAGTCGAGCCAAAAGTTATGCACTTTTTTAAGTGAATATGATTGCATTCTAATGTCAGGCAATAAATTAGCGACTCGGACTCCGGCGTGGCATGACCTCAGCTCAGCACGCGACCCACACACACCACCACCCTCACCCTCAAACTATCAAAGAGATAGCATAAAATGGCAATAGTTCTCAACTGCATACAACTTAAAGAAGAAGTGCCCATTTATATTTATTCCTTATAGATAAGTTGAGTTTATTATACTTGTAAATTATATGTATTTAGTGCTTATAGATCAATGCTATTTATTTCAATCACAAAAATGGTATAGCAATAATTCAAGATTATAAGATTTTGTTTATTACCATGAAATCATACAAACCAAAAATATGTTTAATCCTAAATGTTATGTATTTGGCTGGCATAGATCACGAGATCCCCTTGCTCTATTACCCATAACTAAACCCTTTTCGATTTCTAATGATTAAAGAAAATAATCAATTTAGATAGGGATTTAATGGATAAGGTTTAAAGGACCCCAAGATCATATGAATGGGATTCGAACTGGAAATTCCCAGAAACCCTATATGCCCCTGCAGTCCATGAGGTATTAAATAAAATGTGAAAAAAGGGGCAAAAATGTGCGAAAATTTCGCAGGGCATGACTGGGCTGAAAATGTGAGGGGAGGGGGGGGAATTTCGCGATTGCGATTGTGAGTGCGAGTGAGTGTGATGAAGTAAGAGGTTCGCAAGTGGGGAGGCGACATTTTGTGCGGTTTCGCGTGCCACTGGGAAGTTGAACGTGCTCGGCTAATGCTGATGCTGATGCTCCTTCTCCAGCTCCAGCTCCTGATCCTGATCCTGGTCCTGGTCCCTATGCTGGCTGCTCCTCCTCTTGCACATCTGGCACTGCCAAGGCCAGAGGGCTGTGGGCGGTGGGCGTGGCATGCCGCCGCTGAAAATGAAAAACTGCTGCGGATTACGTGGTGGTAGAAAACTTTTTGACGCTTGATTTTCATGCTGATTGTAATCCTTGTGTAAGAGCATTTTCCAGCCTGATCAAGAACGGAACTACGGAACTAAATATGTCAGAGGGGGCGTGGCCACTCATCGCTCGCTGCAAGTTGGTCAAAACTGGACCGGAATAATGCTAGTAACTTGATATGGGCCGAGTTGTGGCCTCTGGACATGTGAACTGAATGCTGCGGCCAAATGAACTTTCCAGCTGCAACAGTGTTGCCAACTTTGGCCCAGTCGAGGATTATAAATATCTGAAAATGGTTTGGACTATTTTGAAGTAGCGTACGAATGGCATTCATTGCTCTTTGGATGGATGTTTTTGGTCGCTTTAAATGCTTACAAAAATTTTAAAGGCTTCCGACTGTTTTTTCTGTTTTGCCAAGCGGCGAAAATAGCCAATATAAAGTGGAGTACAATTTTTTTTACCTTTAGATATCCGAAAAAACAAAATTTCCAACAAAGCCCCATTTACAGAATAAAAATATCAGGAAAAAAAAAGTTTCGAAAAAAAATCAAAAATCAATTGGCATTTACAGCTAAAAATTTTTTGTTACGGCCAATTTTCAGAAAAAATTATATATCCAAATCATTTTTAAATCGGTAGATTAGGTCTTCAGGTGCACAAAACATTCATTCTGAACCGAATGATGGGGTGTTGTAATAAACATTATAATTTTGGAATTTTGTAATTTAACTCCAAGATCGAAATCACATTTTCATCCCTCTATTTATATTTTGTGACTTATTTTAACATTTTATTATTAGGAAGTCTAATTATTTGATGTTAAAGTACTTTAATTAATTGACAAACTTTAAAACAGCCAAGCTGAATGCTCTGATCCCCCGAAAAACAATTCCGATGTGAACAGTGGATTGCGGCTGCATCCGATGTTTCGCTGTAAATTCAGCATCAGCTAACGAGCCTCTTTGTTGCCTTGGGTTTTTGCCCACGGCGCTGATTTCCCCGAATATTTCCATTCGGACCCAGTATTTCACCCCCCCCCACGCCACGGGTAAGCGTATTTAACATTTTTGATGTGGGCCCTTGGCCGCCGAAAGGGAAGGCGAAACTAATTTATTTCCATTAGTCGACGACGTCGGCCACGTGAAATATTTCCGCTAATTGGCATTTGGCAGGCCACGCAGCAGGATCCGAAATACTGCTATGCTGGAGTCCTGGAGTCCTGGACTCCTGGATTCCACCCCCCTACCCCCTCCCCCCCCGCAACCCGAACATTCTGTAATTAATCATTTTCTGATTTGGCATTGGGTCCTGCACAGAGGCTACCGCATTTTTCCGGCCATTTGGCGTCGTGGGCCTCGCATTTTACGCGCCGTTAAAGTCTAATCGAAAAAGTATTTTTGTGGCCAATGAAAATTCCAATAACGAAATGCCAGCCACAACAAACTTCTTGACTTTTTTATGCCCCGCAGCCGGGGAAGTTTTTCGCGACCCCACCTGCACCTGTAGACTTTGGCTTGATTAGTGAGGTGGTGGTGGTGGTGGTGGCGTCTCCCGGATCCCGACTTTGATGCAACTGGAGGGAGGAGGGGAAGAGGGAGCCGTGGAAAGCCTGCACTTGACGGACACCATGTCCATCGCCCATCACCCATCACCCATCGTCAAATTGTCTGGCTGAACTTTCGCAATGTGTTGCGTTGTGGCCATTCGCAGGAAACAGGAAAACTTTTCCCTCTAATGCGCAATTAAGCAAAAATTCCAAGCATGATGGGCGGAATATTGTGGATCATCACCTGAACGGCGAGTCGCCAGGACCCTCGGTCAAAATGCTCAAAATTGACAGCTGCAGGAATGAGATGGGATCAAAGGACCTTTGGAACTTTAATTGCATGGTCAGTGGCAGATTAGCAAGCGATTTAAGTTAACAAATACTGGGGCATACGGCAAATTTTATTTATTAATCAATATTTAAACACTATAATTATTCCATTTATCCACGATTCATTTATAAGTCTAATAAATTTACCCAAGATATTTATATTAATACAACATTTCTGCTTTAAAGGTTATCCTTTCCTACCATTTGCTATTTATTTATTTTCATTTTATAAACCAAACTTTTTTAGGTGACAATATTTACATAAAGTTTTAGTTTTTTGTTAGTAAGCGTACAAATTGTTCTCGTTCATTAAAATTTGAGGGCAACTGTGGTTCAGACTTTCTTATTAACTTAATTTTAATGAAACCTCTTACCTTTCATTTGCTTAAAAAGGAAACAATTCCGGTCAAGAGCCCGTAATAATAGTTGCTTAAAATACCCATTTATTGTTGCACAAGAGTACTAAGTCACAAATTTCAACGAAACAAACAGAGAACAATTTCACTTTCCCAGTTAGTTTAGCAACTCCAAATCTCTAGCCATGAAAATTTTATCTGTTTGACAACACAAAAAAAAAAATAACACCAAAACACCATAACAGCACAGTTCACAGGTTTAACCCAGTCCCAACCACAAAATACACACGGAGCAAATCTAGCCGGGATAATCCGAGCACACACTCAAAATGGGCGCCACGTTGGCCGGTGAAACGCGTGCCGCCGGGGAGGGGGTGAGGGGGTGGCAAGGCCGACAGGGCGTCGGGCGGCGCAGGAACCCCCCCACCGCAACAGGACTCCACGGCCCCAAAAACGGAGAGGTCGGAGAAGGAGCCACCAAGGCAACCTGAACAACCGGAAAATCAGAACCAGCAGCAGGAACATCCGCAACCGAAACTCGTGTCCAGGGAATCACCCAAACTGGTGAGGCGCCGATCGAGATCGGGCTTTAACATGACCGAGGATATTCAGCGATTGTAAGTACCCCAGCTGACATTTAATAAACAAGCTAAAACAAATTCAAAAGTAATATGAGTTCTTTAATTGACGGTCACACTTTAAAAAACATACACCAATAATAATTATATGTTTATTCCTAAGCATTTTATATAACAATAATAATTATTGCTTAAGAGGAGTTAAATCCAAACAATTGTTTTTACTCTTCCAATATTTAAAACAAGTGTAAATAGCTTTTTTCAAAAGAAAATATAGTGCTGAGCTAAACCACACAGTATTTAATGTCACATAAACAGAATTTTATAATCTTTTGAACCAAGTGGGGAAACAAAATCTTCGTGGCCTTCTGCTCAATTCAGCTTAATTGGGATATGCATCTGCAACGTGAATAAATTTCACCTTAACTAACCACCCTCTTCCGTTTTTCCTTTCAGGTCAAATTACAATAGTTTGAACAGGGAAAATTATGAGTTACCAACTGCAATTATTTATAGGCACAAAGTAAAAAGCAATAACGGAATAAAAACTACACAACCTTCTAAAAAAGGTATGGTAATGGGAAGTGTATCATATTTTCAGTTAAGTGGGAGAAGAAACACTTAGTGACCTTCACTTTAATTGATGCATCTAAAAAGAGAATAATTATACTTGTTACTTGTAGAGAAATAGGGAATATTGTATTCGTTGAAGAGTAAGTAACAGGTGGAAGGAAATTCTATAGTTAAGTTGATAAAGCCATTGTCTGTCTGTCCGAAATGATAGAGAACTATTTATACGACCAATTTGAATTATAATTAAATTATATTTTGAAGTTATTAAGTAATTAAGCTTAACATTTGCCATAACATCAGTGCTAGTATGATTGTAACATCGCCGTGCTAAAGCGCCATCTGTTGGTGGTATTAATGGATAATATGATATTTGACACTCGACTAAAGCGTACCTTCTTGCTTTATTCTTTTAATAATTTTTGAATCTATTGCAGGCCCACGGAGGCCATCTTCGCGGAGTTCGACCGTCTGCTGCTGCAGGCGGAAGGTCAACTGAAGGAGGTGGTGGAGCCACCCTGCGCGGACGTGGCCGCCCGGCTGCAGAACTGCCTCCAGGCGCACCGCCAGCGGGCCTGCGACTGCTTCCCGGCGATGGAGCAGTACCGCCACTGCGTGGTGCGGGCCACCCAGGATCGCGTGGATGACATGGCGGACAATGAGCCACCGATGATGCCGGTGGCGCCACCCCAGTCGATACCCCGTCCCGCTGGGCCGCCATCGAGCCAGCGCTCCAATCGCAGATGGTGGAAGTTCTGGACCTGGTTCCGCTAGTACCCCAGTCCCCCAATCCCCCAGCTTGGATCCTCCCATTCGTTGTCCGTTCTCAACCCAACAGCAGTAGTTCATGGGTGAACTATACCCAATCAAAATAAAGAAATGCCTTTATTATTGAATCCACTTTTGCTTGTTTCTTGGGGAGGAAGTGCAGCTAAAAATATGTCTATTTTCACAGTGCTTGCTCGGGAAATTGATATGACTCCAATTAGTCTGAGACCTTGGAAAATTGCACTTTTAATTGCAGCAGAATTTTGTAAGTAATAGTTCTATTTTATTAAATTTGCCTTTCAAATAAGTTGATATCAATAAGATTCAAATATGTTAAGCTGGAAGATACATTTTTAGGGTGTCCCAATATGAATATTGGAGAAACCTCAATCACTTGTTTCCTAAATACAGCATTCATTTACATTACCTCACCTAAAGAGCAGCATTCAAGTTAATGAAATCTTTTTCAGAACTATAAATTCGAAATAAAAAGATTTTGTAAGCAAAAAAAATGCAATTTGAGAGCAAAAGAAATTCCTCAAGGCGATCCAAAAACGGATTACGTATCCGGTTCCAATAAGTGTTACAGCCATTGTGTAGTGAAACTTCAGTATGCACTGAAAAATGAAGTTTGTGTGGAAAACAGAATCATAATCAGTTTCAGCCATGCCCTACATGCTTATATTGAAATCTAAACTCAAACCACAGAGTGCTGCTCGGTTGGGTCCCCCCCCCTCTCTCCGCACCCCTTGTCCATTCTGTCCATTCATTCATTTAAATGTCTATATCATCTGGCCAAAAGGAGGACGGTGGGTGCAGGAGTGCAGGAGTGCAGAATGCAAAATGCAGAATTGCAATTTGCAATAAAAGTAAATCTGCTATGGCGCCGGGTGGAGCTGAGCTCCGGTTCCAGCTGGCTAGCTTCTTACTTTGTTATCCATCCCCCACCCCCACTTCCCCCTTCCCCACCCACTTCCCCTCCCCCTTGCCAGCCCGAAAAACCATCTGCCGCCATATGTGCTCGTCTGTGTGTGCGGTTTCAGGTTGAAAGCCTTTCGGGCAAGGTAAGCAAACATTAGAATTTATTAAATCCAGCTCATGCAGAGCAGCCCCGCCCACTTCTTCGTTTTGCTCGGGCGCAGTAAAAAAAAAAAAAAGAAAAGAGGAGAAAAATTATAGCATATAAAACTCACCTTGCCACGGCTTCAGCAGCACATTCAACTTTTGGGCCAGGCCAGAACACACCCACCGCCTATACAACCTCACACACACCCCCTCACACACCCCTCACACACACCCCCTCACACACACCCCACACACACTCCAGCGGACACCAGATTCGCCTGTATTATCTTCACACACACCCGCACATATTTGCCCTTACATAATCCAACTTTGCTTTTAGCATTTGCCAAAACAAACAAAATGGGAGCCCCAAAAAAAGGAGTACACTGACCAAAAGCGCGATCTGCCGATTATAATGGGATATATAGATCAATTTGATGGTGATTTTCAGTTGGAGATAAACATTAAATCCTGGTTGTAGAGTAGCATCAATAGGGATATCTGATATCAAATCTGTATAAAAATTTAATTTCGAATTTACAATGTTTTATGTAAATTCGAAGTTCATTTTTTGATGCTAATATAAATCCAGGATTTAATGATGACAATGACTTATGTAAATTCGAAGTTAATTTTTTTTAAAGATTTAATATCATATATCCCTTTTGATGCTACTATATATCCAGAATTTAATGTGTAATCTGATATTAATTCATATTCATATTCTTATTTTTTCTCTGTAGTATAGAAGATTTCAGGGAAAATGTCAAGTACTAAGATGAAATGACTCAAATTCATTTTTTTCCTTCGAAATAATAGGAACTGATACAACTACAAAACTAATCCCCAAAAGAAAAAGGGAACAGATTACTAGTTACGTATTATAATTCAAAATGGAGAAAAATATTAGTGATCTTTAGCTTTTATAGTTTCAAACAAACAAAAAGTTGGCGTAGGATTTGGTAAAGTAGTTTGCAAAAGGGCTTAATACAGGGTGTTTTTGTTTTTACATACGCCTAGGCAGTAGAAGAAAAATCGTAAATTCTTTGCTAAATTGTCCGATTATTTGTTTAAGCAGGAACCAAAGGAAAATGCAAAAGAAATGCAAACTGTCGTATTTGAGTTATTCGTGGGATTTGCTGGGGTAAGTTGTTACTTCCCCAGGAAGCAGGCGATTTATTATCGCAACTTAATCTCACAAAAACACGTCAAACCTGAAAATCCTACAGCTCGGCAGCGAGCCTCGCCCCTTTTGCCGCACGCCCATAAAAAGTGCGAGTGGGGTGGGGTGGAGGGGGTGGGAGGGGGTGATAGCATATATTCGGTCGCTCGCCGTTGGCTTCATAAAAAACCAACTACATGGAGTGCGCATAGCAACAAAAACATGCAGGCAAATCACAGTGTACAGCGCACTTCACCCCTCTTTATTTCTTTCTTTTTTTTGTTGGTACCCCCTTGAAAACCCCACCCCTGGCAATTTCCATTTGGTTGCCCTTCTGCGGTAGTTGGGCACAGGAAAAAATATTTAACATTTTTAAAACGATGGCCCCAAGCGGCTAGTACTAAATATTATGTTAAAAATAACTTTAACATCAACAAAAATTAATGTATTTTTAAGTATTAACATAAATACTGGTTTGATTTTATTTTTATGTTCTAATTTTGATAGTTATTAAGTTTAATTTTTTACTTCTGCAATTTTTTTTCCATCTAAATAGTTGTAAGATTAATTTTAAATATATGGCTTGATGTCTCTTAAAAATACATTTCTATAAAAATAAAGACAATTGATTATAATCGTTTTGGTTTTAAATTTAACAATTCTGATTATATTACAATATCAGGATCATTTTAATTATTAGTACTAAGTTCTAAGTATTATTAAATATTTAAGCCCTTAAGAAGTTTTAGTTTTCAAATGGGGAAAATTAAGACTTGTCAAGAACAAATTAAGCCTTTTAAAAACACCCCAAGAAGTCCTTCAAGTCACTTAAGAATTCTGCATACAAATTTCGTCCTGTGCAATTCGTTTAGCCGTGTGTTTTCCGTTTGGTACATTTTTTTTTTGGTAACAGTTTTGCCCACTGCTTTTTTCTATTTTCCTCGTTGTGCCATAAAGATTATTATGAAAGTATTTTGCTAAGCTGAGTTCTGAGTTGAGATGTGTCGGGTTGGGTTGGGTTTGGTTGCTGGGGCTGGGTTTTGGAGTTTAGGCTAGGGTTTTTGGGATGGAAAAGAGGATGGGTAAGTGGGTGGGGCATGTGGCAAGTGGCATCTCTGTTGCTCGCGCTATCTGGCCGCGCATCCGTCTCTGTCATGCCATTTGGCTGGCACTCTCGAGGCCTTAAGTGTGCATGCATTATGCCATGTATGCAGGACCAGGACCTCCAACCCCCCCTCCTCTATCGTGTGTAATATGCATGCATGGATAATTTATCAGGACACAGCACAGCTTTAAATTTGATTTAAGCCCTGCCCATGTCCACTGCCATGTCCCTGTCCCAATCGCTGTCGTTTTAGTGGTGCCGACCAACTGACAGCAGCTCAAATGCAATTAAATGGCCTGACCACAGAGCAAATCAAGCGCAAATCTCACCCGGAAAACCAGCAAATGTCAATGCTCGGTTTTGAAATTATTTTTTGGAGGAAAGGGGCTTAATCAGAAATGTCGAAGAAATTTTAAAGCATTAGTAAAAGTGCCTGCAATTTAATAAATATATACTTTTTTTTAATAAAAATAACATTTACGCACCTTTGAATTGCTTGGTATTGAATTAAATTAAATTATATTATATTATATATATAAGGATAAAACAAGAAAATTTGATAATTCTCTATTATACAGAGAAAATCATTATGATTTAATTGCATAAATATTTTTTCAATTAAGAAACTGTCTTTAAATCTACTTATATTTTTACTTAAAATCACAGTAGCGAACAACAGTTTTAAATGTTCTCAATCACTTATTCAATAAAACTACTCAAAAAAGAGCGAATTCAAATTGGTTGTGATGGGTGAAGGTGAGTTTGCAATCGAAAAATATGATAAGCAGTGAATCATACGGGCCGTTAAGGCGATTAAATCCCCAATCCCGAACCTCACCTGCCACTCTTCCCTCAAACACTCGACCCCAATCCGCCGACAGGGAAACGCAGAACGCAAGAACGAGGAATTCCGTGTAGCAGAGTGTAACAGCCTGGCTTTGTGCCCATGTACCCATGTGCCACCGACATTACAGCATTTTTGATATGCTTGTAGTTTCGGTGTTTTTATGGGATAGGGCATATGGGATATGGGATATGGGATATGGAATATGCCCGACTTGGCGGGCATATGGAAATCGGATGGGGCAGACCAAGCAGCCAAAGTTGTTTGTTTTTATGTTGTCTTCAGCAGCGTTGCATAAGTGCATTTGTCTGTTATCTCGACGAGGAGCCTTTGTTTCGCTCCCAGTCCTGCAGTTGCCCCCTTCCCCTTCCCCTTCCCCTTCCCCTGCATTCCATACCATGCCATAGTCAAGCCCATACCTAACCCATCCCTTTTCCATTTTCTCACACTAGTCCAGGCACTTGTTTTCAACGGAATCAATTTAGCGTAAGAAGTTTCAGCTCCAAGCTCAAAGTTGTTGTCATGTGCAGGCCAGGATGAGCGGGATGGGGATGAGGATCAGGATGAGGATGAGGATGAGGATGAGGGGTTCAGGGGTGCAGTTCGGGGGTCAGGAGGGGCACAGAGTGTAGTGTGGTGTGTGTGTGTGGTGCAATTATGCCAACGACAGCTGCCTGGCAGCCTCGTCGTCGCTCTATTAATCAAAAGTTATACAAAAAGCCAGCGAACTTCGCCACACGACTTGCCCAGCTTTCCCCCGGCGTTTCGCCTCGGCTTTTCCGTCCCCGGCTTTTCCGCATTTTCCTTGCTGAGCCCCATCTCCCTGGCTCTATTCCCAGCTCGATTTTCCCAGCTCCTGGCGCCGGCTTCGCTTCCTCATCCTGTTCTCCCTGTTGTTTGCAATTTAACTTTGCTGTGAGCGAAGGCTCTTCATGAGTTGGCCCAAGCTTATGTGCGCAAACACATAGATACACTCGAAGAAAATCTTATGATACTATTAAAACACTTTTAACATGAAACTTATACATTGCCAAACAATTTTATGTATTACACGTCTAATACAGGTCTCCAATCAATGAGAATTAATTTATAATTAGTAAAAATACCATTCTTATTTAACAAATTAGAAATAATCCAAAGGCTCGATAAATTATTTATTTTTAAATACCTTTTTGGTAAAACTTCCTGGGATTTAAATAACTTTTCTTCAGTTTTAATGTTTTACGCAAGTGAATTAATTGGAATTACTTTATTTGATTACTTGCATTAGTTTTTTAAGGATAATAAATGTGTTGTTATCATAAATATATAAATTATAAGGTTGTAATTGTAATTATAATAATTGTGATTATAGCTAGCCAAAATATTAAAAAGCCATTGTATGGTTGTAGATTCTATTATCAGAACATTTTTTTATAAATCAAAGCAAATTCATGATTGACAAATCTTTATAACTTAACATTGAACTTCTCTGAGTGCAGGATATCAGTGGGTCTGTGCGGCTTGGTGAGTAAAAACAAGATATAATATTTTATGAAAGCTTTGGCAACCACGGTCCACCCCTCCCACCCCTTACCCCACCCCACTCCACCACTGCTGGCCCCTGAATGGACTGGGACTCATTGGCCATAAATAAATAAGGCAGCCAAACACAATCAAAAACCAATGAAGCAGACCAGCAGCCACAAATGACAGAAGGAGCTGCGAGTTCCCTGGAAGCCCCATCATCCCCCATCATCGTCCTCGTGTCAGCTTTTTGTCCTTGTCCTTGGCCTCCCAAATGTCCCCGCACTCCGAGTAGTTGGCCATGATTTAATGCCCTAATCTTTTCCGCTTTTTCCCGTTTTTTTTTTCATTTTTTTATTTTTCATCTTTTCAGTCCCCGGTGCTTTGCTCAAAATTGTTCATTTATCCACGGGTCCCTCATAAATCTTTCGTGTTGTTAGCCACGTTAGCCACGTTAGCCATGCATCAGGTATGGGCGATCAACGATCTGCTGTGCCACTTTATGCGCAGATACCTGCATATGATGACGCCCCACTGCCAGTACTACTCCATCTGGAAGTTCCCGACCGGCAGCCCTGGCGTTAGGGTGAAGGACTTCCTCAAGGATCTCTCCGTTTCCAGCTGCGATGAGATGTTCCCCTTCATGTTCTTCTACGTCTTCGCCATCAGTGTGTTGGGTGTGGTGGGTAACATAACAAAGAGATTTATACAATCAATGAAAATATCATTAATATCTCTAATCTGCAGCTCCACAACCTCATCGAGTTCATGCACATCTTCGCCAAGAGGAAGGGAATACATGTACTGCGGATGTGGCGACCACGGGACATCCTAATGTTCAGCGATGGACAATTGCGGCGATTCCGACTCGTCGGGAACTTCTTCATGATCGTGGCGTGGTCGCTACTCCTATACGCCCTGGTATCCGTGAGTCTTAAGACCCTCAATAATATTTCCTAAGCTTGGAAGAAGCTATCATTAGAACTTTTCACAAAAAGAATATTCTTAATCGGCTTAGTAGTTTTGGTTTGTCTTCATTTTCGATCAAACTTAGAAGCCTTCCTAATTAAAAACTCGAAAATGCTACATAAAGATTTTTGGGCATTATAAGTTGGTTTATAAAATGTCTAACTTGTTATCCAACAATCATTTAATAGGCTTTCAATAAAGTAATGCCAGTATGTTGTCTAAAAATGTCGATATTTTAAAGGAATATTTCAAATGTTTTATTTACAAAAAAAAAAAATAAAAAAAAAAATATAAAAACTTTTGTTTAAAAAATTTTTCAATTGTTGACCTCGAGCCGAAAAAACTCAAAAATAAAACTTTCATCAAAGGTCGCCAACGAACCAAATTAGGAATATTTCAAAGCTAAATTTCACAAAAAAAATGTATATTTTAATCATAAAAAGAAATTGTTTTGCGGGCCAGAAAACTTTTAATTTTAAAGGGAATCCTTATGCCATATTTGTCATCTCTACACTTCCTAATTTAATCAATTTCCTATTTATTTACTTATTCTCTGGCATTAAAGTGCTTAAAATATTTACCACTTTTAATTTCAAAGGGAATCCTTATGCCATATTTGTCATCTCTACACTTCCTAATTTAATCAATTTTCTATTTATTTACTTATTCTCTGGCATTAAAGTGCTTAAAATATTTACCACGCAGGTCAAGCCGCAGTTCATTGATCCCTGGGTGATGGTTTCCGCGACCGCCACGTCCATAGATGGATTCTTCCTGTTCCTGGATGTCCTGAGGCGTCGCAGGATGTGTGGTCTGCGTTCCTTGCTGCTCCTCTCGATTACGTTGATCAATGCGTTTTGTGTCCAGTGTGTGAAGGCGTCCTTGGAGCGGATCATCCATCAGAACGCTCAGCGGAATCTCGTGTGGTGGAGGTGATCTCCCAAATTTTCTGTGATTTTTAGTTTTGTGACGAATATATATATATATATATATCTTCGCCCACTTCTTTCGTGCTTATCTTTTTTTTACAATCTCAAAAGCGAACTCTGGGGAACCCTCGCCTTTTGTATCCTCGTTTCGGAAAAGTTTTCTGCTTAATTTAATTTCCAGCAGCATTCTAACTCGATTTCGCGCGTTTATCGTTAGGCGACAACTTCTTAATTGCCAGGCGGCGACCAGGACACACATACGCCCCACGATGTGTTATGTTTTGTTGGCGAGTGTAAAAGTATAATAGGGTGAGAGGGGGAGAAAGTTTAGAGATAATGAGAGCCGCGAAACTGACAAGAAGGTGACTGGTTTATTTAAACCTTTTAGTTTAGTTTTGGGAAAAATAAAAATGTATAAGATTATGTGATTTAGCACTCTTTTATATAATAACTTTTTCAAGAGTAGACCAATTTTGTAAACTATTATTTAAAGTAATTTTTGAAAATACCTAGAACAACTTAAAAATCTTACCTCAGATGGCCAAAGAAAAATGTCATTAAGTTCAAGTCTTAACATGTTTCTAATTTCCTAGGTTAAGTCATGTTTAAACAGGCTATTTGCTCAAGGTAACTGCCAAAATCTGGGACATCTTGGAAAAGCTGGTCTCTTTTTGACCATGGATGTGCTTTAATTTCAGCGCTTCGTGATGTGCTTTTCATTTGCCCTAAACGTTTGCGCCATTTGACTTAATGAAGCTTAAAGACAATAAAACGCTTAAGCACACAACTTAGCCACGCCCCTGCTGCCCCCTTACACACACACAGATACACAGAGACACACACACACACAGAGACACGCACACACACACACAACATTCTGTCAACGTCAAACGTCTTTTTCTTGCAACTTTCTGCGCTCGCGTCATAATTTCTATGAATTTTATACACTTTGATAAGCATTTCATTGGCATGCGAGGCACGTTCGAATAGCCCCCCTCCCCCTTTTTCCCCCATAGCACCACAGCCCCACCCCCCTGAAGCATTTAGCCCCCCTCCCTCCCATCCAGCTGTTTGTTTTGCGAACTTTTGTCGCCGTCCATGTAAATCAGGCCAAGCGACAATTAAACGCGCCAAGCACGACAATACTTAGAGCTAATGGCCACGGACCTGAACCTCGGACAATCACCAACAAAATAAGGTGGGATATTAAGAACACCACAAGGAGAAAACACCTGTCAATCTCAATTTTATTTAGTCCATTTAAGACTACAATTATTAATTCAAATAATTATTAAATATAGATCTTACTTTCCTACTTTTAATTATATGTTTTCAAAGTTTATCTGAATATATGTTTGCATTACATTACATTTTTGCTATTTTAATATATTGGTAGCTGATTAAAATCATAATAAGATCTTCCCCCAATTACAACATGTACATTTTTCTTGCAGTGCAGGCCAAGCCTTTGGCGTTTCCGCTCCCATTTCCGCTCGTTGTCCGAAAAGTGTAAACAATTAAATTTTAATTAGAATTCGCATCGCTTGACATGCGACATGGAAATGGACGAAGGCAGGAAAATGTCAGTTGCCAGTTGTCCGGAAAAGGGGGCGGTGGGTTGGGTCGGTGGGCGGATGGGCGGATGGGTGGTGAAAGTGTTCGCAGTCGGGACTTAACCCACTCACCCACACACTGAAACCGCACTTCCGATCTCCGCCACCGACACACAGACATTTCATTTCCGTTCTCGTCGGCTTGTTAATTTATTGGGCACCTCCAGACCTGCAGACCCAATCCGAGTACAAAATACACGGAAAACAAATACATAGAAATGAAAATACAAGTGCTAAGCTTTTGAGTATAAAACACTATTTAGTCTTTAAAAGTATATCAACAAAATGTTCGATACAAAAATAACATTATAGACCAACAATTGTAACTTGTCGTCCTATAAATTTAATATTTTGTATTTATTATTAAACTAATATTTACACCTTTATAATCCCTAGTGTATAGTTTTTAGGGCAACGTTTACTAAATATAAAATGTGGGGTTTTTTTGTGTGTTTATTTTTAGTAATTAAATTAATACATATACCTTCAGCCTGTCTATAGTTTATATACCGAATTCGAAGTATATTATTAAGTAGTAAATAACAACGCTTATTTAAGTTAAGATGTGGACATTTTTTTTGGGTGTACCGGATACCGAATACCGAATACCTCCTCTGTCGACCGCCTGCTGTGGCTGAGGTGCTCGAAAAGGGCTTGTAAATTAAACGGCTGACAGTTAATAGAAAACCGAAAGCCTCTCATTTGGCACATTTGCGGCCTGCGCTTTATATACTCCCAACTTGGTGCGGTTTGATGGATTGCCGGCTTAGTTTTAGCCAGTTAACTGCCGCACTCGACAATTTATGCCCCCAATTCCGGAAGGTGTCGACTCGAGGCCCGTAAAATACGAGGTGGCAAATCGGACGGCTGGGCGGGCAACTCAAATTTTAATGCCCAAATTGTGGCTAATGAAAATGTCTAAAAGTGCTCGGATGATTTGTTGATTTCCTTCAGTGGCCTTGCAAGGTCATAAAGCTTAAGGGACAACAAAAAGCACATAATACATGCGGCGGATAAATGTAATACAAATCAACGCAATGCCATTTGTTAGTATCCCAAGTGATCCCAAGTACAGTGGTAAATTTAATGTTATTTTATTTACAAATCATAAATGAAATAACTGTTAAGAAACTCATATTTAATTTAAATTTTTTTTAGCAGCATTTTCCTTTTATTTATCAATAGAATACACTTAATAAGGCCTTCGTTTTAATTGATCACAATTTTGGAAAAGAAGGACAACACGGCGAATGAGTAATATATTGTATGATATATTATACAGAATATTACTCATTCGCCGTGCTGTCCTTGTTTTGCTAAATCAATAGAACAATTATTTTTTAATTGAAGGACAACACGGCGAATGAGGAATATATTGAATGACATATTATACAAAATATTACTCATTCGCTGTGTTGTCCTTCATTTTCAAAATTGTGATTCAAAATTGTGATCAATTGTGGTACACGGCGAATGAGTAATATATTGTATGATATATTACACAGAATATTACTCATTCGCCGTGCTGTCCTTGTTTTGCTAAATCAATAGTACAATTATTTTTTAATTGATCACAAAAAGAATAACAACACGGCGAATGAGTAATATATTGAATGATATATTATACAATATATAACTCATTCGCCGTGCAGTCTTTCATTTTTTTAAATTGGGATTTAAAAAAAAATATATTACTATTGATTTTGCAAAAGCATCTTAACTATCAACTTCAATTATACTATATTAATTTCACTGCACTTCAACCTTTTTTAAGTGAATTTTTCTTTTTGAAATGTACAACTAAGGTCTAAACTCTTTAGGTGGGGAAAATAAATCTCAAGTGATTTAAGACGAAGCAAGCAATGATTTATTTAATTTGTTGAGTGAGAGTCGAAATACACATTTTCACAAGTGATTTCCAAACTCCAGGGAAGTTTGATTTATGGATTCAGGAGTTTGCTGTGTACTGTCATTTAAATAGTTTTGGAATGTTTATTTTGATAAGCGTTTATTTATTTATTCCATTGGCATACCACCGCATACCCTGTCGGAAGCCAATAAATAAATGGAGGCAGCTGCTTTAATATCATATTTAAGCATTATCTCACTTCTGCTACTTAAATGCATTTGTTTTACGTGCTGAGACTCGTTGTCAATATAATCTTGTTTAAGCGACTTCCCTTAACTTTGCGTTTAGGTGCAATTTCAGATCGGATTTTGTGAGTTCCGGTGGCAAACCGAGAAATCCCGGTAGACAGTGATGCCTCAGCTAATTTTGCACTGCCCACGGATCCGGATGGAAGTGCAACTCGCAGCAGCGGGTTAATCCCAACTGTCGACGGAGTTGGCAGGCTGATGGGTCCGGAGTTGACCCAGTTTGCTCCGGATTTATGCCGCAAAGCGGAACTTGCATCACATTTCCTGTTTTCCGGGCAGGGGTTTAAAGCCATCGCCATCGCCATCGCCGCCACCCAAATCCCTTAGCCCGAATACCTCCCGGAGAACTCATCTGTGTTTATGGGACGCCACTAAATTTCGATAACAATAAAATATGATTTTTGCTTGCGTGGGTGCAAGGGGGGTGGTTTGCAAAGAAATCAAAGAGCGGGTGCGCATATATAAAAGGAAAACACGAAAAGAAATTAAGGAACTGGCCGGAACACGGAAAAAGGACACCAAGTCACTGTGAATCAGGATGGCGTAAAACAAACAACAACAAATATGTCTGTATAGGGAAAAAATAAACTCAAGTTCAGGGTTTTTTGCCCAAGACGAATGCCAAATGCCCTAAAAAAAAACGAGTTAAGTTGCGTACTTAAAAGCGGAAAAAAGGCGAATTTTCCCAGGGGGCCTGCCCAAGGATGCCCAAGTGAATGTACCCCAAACCGATCAAGGACTCGCAGATCCAACAAAGCGCAGAGTAAATATTACAAAAATGTATAACACGAGGATTTCGGGATAGGCGCGGGTGTGGCGGAAAATGGGGAAAAAGGAAAAATGGCAGACGTGACAAAAATGCTTAAGTGAAAAGTTACGAGCGAGCGGCGGAAATCGCTTTTCCCCCAGCCTCTTCTGTTTCCCTTTTATTTTCCTTTCTTTACTCTACTTTATTTTGCTTGTTTTCCCAGTCCTCCCCGAAAAACTTGTTTCGCGCATTTCGTTTTCCTTTCTCCACCACTTTTTTTTTCGACTGCGTTACGTTTTTGTTTTGCTCTCGCAGCTGCTTAATATTTTCTTGTTTACGCTTTGTTCGGCAGCCGGGGGGAGCAGATGCACTGGCAGAAAATCTGACTGAGATGTGTCTAAATGTATATCCGCTTTTGCCAGCAATCCACTGGTTATTTTGTAAATAGGTTTACAATTTAATACGATGTTTTGGAACTACGTTGTTTTTCTGTGACTCAATTAAAACAAGTATGTAAAATGTTTTGAAAGGAATTCAATTGTCATCAACTCAAAG